GCTCTAAACCAAGGCTCAAAACCTAGGCTCTGATACCAACTGTAACACCCCCCAAAAACAAGACCTAAAAACAAGTCTTAACACATGCAGAATAACAACAAAACACTAGCACAGCGGAAGAAAATGGAAACTGGATAAAAGAAATCCAAAACAGGGGTGTTATGCCATGTATACCACACTAGGTAACGCTAAGGCGACAATCTGCAAGTGTAACACACTATCCCAAAACATCACTCTAAAAACAATCTAAAACCATTGGCGCACAAGCCACAAAAACACAGTCTAAAGATACAGGTGCTAAGCTACCGGCTCTAGACATCGCGCTCGACTACTCAGCACCTGAAAGATACAAAGGTAAACATCGGGGCGACGCCCGGTCAGTGAATAATGTTGGTAACCCACCAATACCGTTAAGTATCATAAATAAGTAGATATATGATATAAAAACCATTTTCGAAACGGAATACATATATATAAGTTAAAAACCAAGATCACAAGACAACACAAGACTCACCGCTCACAAAAATAACACCGGGAACACATCCCAACCACAAAGGATAACCACACACAAGGATAAAGACTCACCCGACGACAACACATGCCAAAACACCACAAGCCTCCGTGACTACACACGTCACGAGAGAAGATCACACAACCACGGCTACACAAGCCCTCGTGACATCACCCATCACGAGTTGATATGCCTTCCTTATGCCCTGTTCCAACCTTATGGCTACCCCAACCTTGTACCTTCAAAGCCAACCATTACCTCCAGAAATCCCCTGTACAGCCAAGTCCAACCTTATTCCGCCGGGACCGTCGTCCCCCACCTATAACCACCAACGAAAACCCACCAATCACGGCAACACATGCCCGGATAACACAATGTTATCCCCCAATCACGTGGACTCAGCCACAGCTCCATAATCACGTCACGGCCACCACGAGGACCATTGCAATACCTTGGTGACTAGTGTCCCATACCACTAATCGTTCAATCTAGGTAGAGCCACACACGCACCACCACTCACACGAATCAATCAACGGATTGCATAGAAGGTATGAAACACACTCGATCAAGGAACGGGTCACAGCCCACAACAACAACGATGCATAACACAAGTTATCATCAACCAAACGGAAGGTACAAACCACACACACCCGCTAGTACAAAGACAACGAACTAGCATGCTTAACAACGGGGAAACTCAAGATAGTTCTGAGGAACTCACAAGACACCTCTTGGTTCAACGAAACACAAAGTTGAACACTTAGCACGAATCAAGACACCAAAGATCCTACATGGATACTTACCATATAGTTCTAGACCTACGAAACATCAAGAAGACGCTCAAGTAGTTCCACAAAAGAACAATGGGAAGCCAAAAGATCAAATACCGAGACAAACAAATCACGGGGAACAAATCCCATCACCACACCACTGTGTTCCCCGTGGATGGACCCACGGGTAGTGCCCCACCCGTGGTCCCGCCCGCGGGTACACTACCCACAAGGCAACATGTTCCCCGTGGGTAGGCCGGCAGGTGGTGCCCCGCCCGCGGGTACATCCCTGTACCACAAAAAATCCCTTCGGGGATTTTCTTCTCCAAACACAACTTCAAGTCCAAAACATGCCAAATCTCACCAAACACAACAAAATGACTTGAACCATTGAAAATGCCAAGCAATGGCTGATAAGTGCATAATTGTTCATTTTTATACCCCATGTCTACCCCATATTTAGCCTTGTTTTGCTTATGAAGTGTCACAATGTTGTTCAAAATGATCTTTATTTTGCTCATTTGATCCATTATGCGCAATTCATTATCTTTGAGTAGAAATGAAGGATTTTAGATCATGTTGGATGCATTTGGAGTCAAGGGGAGCCAAGATGAAGCTAAGGAGATGGATGCAACACTTCCAAAGGAGCCAAAGAGTGATGCTTTCAATGGTGTTGATCATATGGACAAATTTAACCAAGGCAAAAGTGGAACAAGCTGAAATTCTCGCATGGTTTGGGCACTGTTCTGTTTTCGGGGCATATCTCGGTCTAGAAATATCCAATTTATGTGATTCTTGCACCATTGGAAAGCCAACTTAAAGGGCTACAACTTTTTTGAAGACCATAAGTGCCAATAAAATGGTTTTAGATAAGAAAAATAGCCTAGAAGTCAAGACAAGTGCACAGAATTCTGTTTCCAGCAGCCTCGTACGCCCTGCCGTACGCCCATACGCATGCCAGTACGCATCTCTTCTCCCTGATCCATTTTTCACTGGAATTGCACCAAAAATCGTACCCCCTGGCGTATGCCCATCCCTGAGGGCGTCCCAATCTGCTCTGCTCTATTTAGGGTCGTTTTTGTGTCATTTCTACACGGTTTTGGACCTTGTTCCAACCCTAGACATTTCCTTTCACTTCCTTTCATATTTTTAGGTTAGATTAGGATTAGATTTATGTTTCTTAACACTTTTGAAGCTTGTAATCTTGGATTTGAAGCTTGGATTCCAACATTTCAAGATTCCACCATCCAATTTCTTTTGAGAAGTTTTCTTCCTTTTATCTCTTTATTTTGCAAGATTTATGTTTCATACTTGTGTTCTTGTGTTCTTTATGCTATTTAATCATGAGTAGTTAGTTTATGGACTTGAGTTAGGGTTGTATTTCATATCTTGATGCTTAGTTTGTGATTATTGCAAAAAAGGGGAAGAACACTACCTAGGGTTCATGTGTTTGTGAAGGTTTTGTATTTATATCTTGTTAATATTTGATGTACACATTCATTAGCTTGTTTTTGGAGGATTCCTTGCCTCAACGAGAGTTGGGTGATGAATCCAAGCCACCCCTTGCATAGACCCGATTTCTTCCTACGAAAATAGGGGAAATTGGGGATTTTAGATGCTTTGTGTGCTTGATGGACTTGGAATTGATTTACCACGAAAGTGGGGCAATTCCTTGTTCTAATCCTTGTTTATTAATCATGAGAATGGTTCGTGGACTAGGATACCTACGTGCATTCCCGCTTGATTCCTTGGTTACTTGTTCTCCCTAATCCCTTAGGTTGTTAAAGCATCTAGATGATAATGCTCCCTAGCTTGAGTCCTATTTCTTTATTTTGTGTTTATCTTTGTGTATATGTGTTAGTTTTATCATTTCCTTAAACTTGTAGTTTGCTTAGCTTCTTGTTGATTTCCTTATGCTAGTGCCTAGTTTTTTGTGATTGCATATTGCGTGCCATAACCCCCAATCCCCTGAGGACGACATTATACACCCGAACTCACATCTTATTTTTGCTACAATCAATGGCACAAAGGAATCCTAAACACAAGTTCTAGATATGAAATATCACAAGATAAATGCATAAACTCTCACATTTCATAGTAAAACACAAATAGAAGCCAAGAAATCATATATAGGTAAGCAAAATAGGTTTTGTAGAGCATGGGTTACCTCTTGAAGACCAAAAGACTTCACTTACACCACAACAAGCTCTCCACTAAGCTCACTAGCCAAACCCACTTCAAGATCAAACCAAAAGATCATAAAGATCCCACCTTTAAGAAAAAGACAACTAAGATGGAACCAAAAAGACTAGACAAGCTTAGATCTTACCCTTCTAGATGCCCAAATAGGTGAAAGATTGAATCTTGGAAGCAAAACTTGGAATCTTGACAAAGGTCTCACTTGGCTTGAAGAACAAGCTACTCTTCTTTTCTAGAGAGAAGGTAGAGATATTTTCTAGGAATTGTAAGGGATGAAAATGAAGAAGTCTTCTAGATTTAGGTTACAAAACAAACTCTTGGTGAAAAGACAATGATACCCTTACTAACTCTTAGAAAGTGTAAGGAACAAGGGAACTCCTCTTAAAGCACAAGGTACAACACCACTTAAAGATTGACTAGTCAAATACTAGTTCTTGAGTATCAAAAATCAGGATTTTAGGAATCAATTCCTCAAAAGAAATAGAATTAATTACTCAATTAATTCTTGGATTGGAGTGTGGATTTTTGGGGTATCACAGGAGTAGCCTGGTAGAAAACATCCTGGGCTACTTGGACTAGTTACTACTCTTTTGGGTGGGGGAAGCCCATTAGGGGGTGTGCACACTTAAGGTTTTAGTCATTTATCCCACGAAAGGGACAAACTTGTGGAGTGGCCGGTAGAGTGGATTACCGTGTCACTAGGGCTTAGTTGATCTAAGACCCTTCGTCCCTTTCACCTTATATATATATGAGGTTATATGGATGTGTGAAATCTCGTGAGTGATGGTTATGATATTCCTCCGTATGTATATGTGATACATGGAAAAATGATTTGAGAGATATGATTTGAATTCCTCCATACCTATGATTATTGATGTATATGTTTTTTGAGAATGGCTTATGAGAAAGTCTATACTAAAAATGATTATTTGAGAATATCTATGTCTTGGGATGAGTAATTGATGAGTAAACTATATGTTGCTATGAGTTCCTCCATATTTATATTATGTATATCTTGAAAATGCTTATGAGAGATGATGGTTTATACAAAGGATTATTATATTGTAAAGTATTATGTAAGAAAGTTTACTTTGAATCCTCTATACCTATGTTTATTTTGAAAATGAGAAAGAATGACTATGTATTAGTTATACCAATTTGGGGAGTGCTAAGTATTATTTATTTGGATCTCTATTAACTTGTATGAATTGTAGTGTTTTCTGACTAGAGTGTGTATGGCGTTGGTGCCTAACTTACTTTTGGGAAAACTATTTTGAGAAAGGATATAATACCTATTTTGGGGTGAGTCAAGAATATTTTTACTGTAGTTATGTACCTATATATATTCACTTGACTAAATGTTTTCTAAATGGTGATCTATTCAAGTCTTAAAGTTTATTTACAAAGTATAACTATTTTCGAATTATAAATGTATTTATTTTTACAGGGCAGAGTAGAGCTTACTTAGCATTTTATGCTAATTCTGTTGTTTGTGTTTTTCCAAAATCTTTTGTTTTCAGGATATGAAATTAGTGGCTTGCTTTGAGAGCGCGGTGTAATCTTCGTATACCTTGTAATAGAATTTGTACCCCAAGAATTGCTTATGGTATAGTTGAATGGATTATTCAACCTTGTATTTGGATTGTAGATAGAAACTTTGTAGCCTGTGCATTTGGGTTTAGAATAACCCAAGTGTGGCATAACACCCCGTGTTGGTTTAGTTTCCGCATATTTTGAGAAATATTTTCTTTTTGTTCTTTAGTTTCTGTACTTAAAATTTGGGGGTGTTACACTTTGGGCAACCTCTGGGCCGACCGGGATACCTCCCTGGAGCCCCCGCGCGATGCGGTCCAATGTCGCCAAGGACTGTTAGAGGAGGCCGCCCCTTCCCGGAAGAGGGCAGGATCCGGGGGAGGACGGGCGACCACCGTGTCGTTGCAGTGGTTGTTGAGGCGATCTCTGAGGTCACCCGCCAACCTCAAAGAAGGGACTTGTATCTGACTAGTGGTCCCGTTGAGGCTACCCCTAGTCGGGGAGGCACGGGTGTTACGGGAGCCGCGAGAGTTGGATCTCGACCTTGCCATAGTTCGTGGAATATGGAGCACGCTCGAGCTTGTATGTCAACTCTCAACAAGAGCACCAATGATTGATTTAATTAACCCGGGGTAGACCCGAATTACTAAACCCGATAAATAAGGGATATGAAAAGGCGTTGAATGTGTGTCACGGAGACAACTTTGTATTGATAATGTTTGTAGTACGATTACAAGATGAAATGTAATAATAATACCAAGAAGTAGATCCCCTAACCCAGACAATAATCACTCTTTTTATATTAGCTGACCTCCCAACCAACCCCCCTTATTCTCACGGGGCGGTTGGAGGGCAATTTATACCATACACCCCGGCGTATAGCTCTATGTGCGCCCAGCTTCAAAACGAAGCCGTATGGAGTTGATACGTAACGGCCCTTTTTTTATTGTTCAGTTAACGCCGTCAAGTGGTAAGAAGAGGGAAGTGAGAGAGGGGTTCTAAAGAGATGGTGTCGTCGCGCCGATCATGTCTGTTGGATTAGAGAACACGGTAGCGATCTGATTGTTCGATTTGCTCCGTATTTTGCAATTGTTGGATGTAAGCCATGTATGATTCGATTGCGCAGCAGCATGTGGCGGAGACAGAGCAAATAACTGATCCTGTTGGAGTGGTAGATACAGAGGATGTTAATCCAGGTATTAATATTTGATTTTTAAGATTTTCTTTTGTATTTTGTTTGATGTATGATGAATATATTGAATTCGTATGGGTTATTGATGCGTTGAATTATATAAGAATTGATATAGGATTGCTGTTTGATTGTGGTTGTATTGGATGTTAGTATGGTCTGATTTGAAGATGTTGATCTATGGAGGTTTTATGTGCATTGTATGGTTTGATTTGTTCGTTTTTGATGCAATTGTGTAGATTTTCGGATTGAATGTCATAGTAAGATGGACTGAAAAGATAGTTTTATGTATTTATGATTATGTGTATTGTGCCATGTGTTTATGTGTATTATAGTTATGGATTATGTACATTAACAGTATGGGTAGTTAAACTGTATGTGGTTTGCAGCTGATCAGGATTTGGTAGGGATGTCAGTGTGTTCGGTTGATGAAGCATATGACATGTATAATTACTATGCTTTTAAAGTAGGTTTTAGTGTGAGGAGGGGTAAGCAAAGATATACTTCTACTACAAAAACAATGAAGACGAAGATGTTTCATTGTTCGAAGGATGGATTTAAAAGGATTACAGGGAAAGGGTGTTATTCTAACATTGATGGTCGTACAGGTTGTGGTGCATTTGTCCAATTCGATTTACATGAGAATGGGATGTGCATTGTTTTGAAGCACGAGAAGTTGCATAATCACGAATTGGTTCCACCAAGCAAGAGTTACCTTCTAAGGTCACATAGGATGGTGTTTAGGAATCATTTATCCTATCTTACTGATTTGAAGAGCAGTGGTATGTCTGTTGCAGATGGTGTAAGATTCCTTAAAACACAATCAGGGGGATCACCACTTGTTGGTTTTACAAGTAGAGATGCATATAACTCTCTATGTACCGATGCATTGAACAGATTGGATGGTACTGATTGAAATATTCAAACGGAGGCAGTCAAGTGAAAGGGATTTTTACTTTGATTTTGAGGTGGATTTGGAGTCAAGGTTGTGTAGTTTTTTTTTGGAGGGATGGACGAATGAGGAGAGATTATGATTTGTTTGGGGACTTGTTAGTTCACGATACAACATATCGTACTAACAAATATGACATGATTTGTGGACCTTTTGTTGGCATGAATCACCATTGCATGAATGTTATGTTTGGATGCAGTTTTTTGATGAATGAGAAGACTGAGTCATTTGTATGGTTGTTTAAGACATTTTTGAGATCTATGGATTACAGAAGTCCACATTGCATAATGACTGATCAATGTGTTGCTATGGCTGCTGCAATTGTTCAAGTTTTTCCAAGTTCACGACATCGGCTATGTATATGGCATATTGGTGAGAACTCAAAGAAACACATTAAAGGGTTAAGAAATCAAAAAGATTTCTTAGATATATTCAATTGCTTGTTGAAGTATACGGATACAGAGGCACAGTTTGAATTTTACTGGACAATGTACGTGTCTGATGTATGCTTCGTTATTTTTGTTTTTGTTTTTGTTTTTATTATTAGTTTATATTGGATTATCATTGAATGACTATTTTTAGATTATAGTATACAGAATACAGAATTAATTTTTTGGATCAAGTTTATGTGTATTTATTTGATAGTTTATGTGTATTCATGTATAAGACTGTGTACATTAGTCTGTTCTGTATGTGATATCCTGATATGCTTGTAGGTTTACTTTAATATATTTATGGCATGTTATTTCAGGATGGTTACAACATATAAATGTCACAATAATCATTGGATTGAAAAGCTGTATGGGTGTAGAGAAAAATGGTGTCCTGCATTTAATAAAGATTATTTTTCGGGTGGGATTTTATTTTCTCAAAGGAGTGAGACCACAAATCACTCTATTTCTAGAAGGTTGTCCAAGACACCTGGTCTGTGTGATTTTTATAACTCATTTGTTGGGGTCATATCAGAGTGGAGAAGTAGAGAGAATGGGGAAGATGTTCGGTGTTCACAAGGTGTACCCACAATGGTGATGGATAATGTTAAGATTCTGTTGCATGCTAGGGAAATTATACAATTGAGATATACTATTTGTTCAAAGAACAATTTTTGAAAGGTGGATCATGCTATCAAGAGTGTGTGATGTTGGAAGATGGTGTGTATAAGTATCATGTTTGGAGGCCTGATGTTGATATTATTAGGCATGAAGTGATCTTTAACAGTAGACAAATGTACATTGGATGTAGTTGCAATTTGTTTACCGAATTGGGGATTTTGTGTTGTCATTGTTTACGCATTCTAAATGTGTATTGTGTTTCTGAAATCCTTGAGAAGTATATTTTGAAGAGGGGGACTAAAAAAGTTGTTGAAGTTGATAATTTTGATATAATGTCGAGAGTTGATAGTGGTAATGGGGCATATTCTGTTTGGTTATTAGAAATCATTAGGAAATTTCAGAGGCTTGCTGTTTACAGTCAGGAAAATATCGAAGGACGGAAGATTTGTGAAGAAGCAATTGCAGATGCAAAGAGAAGACTTGAAGTTGAATGTAGTGGTAGTTTATTTGAAGAATGTGACATAGGATCTCCAAGTGGTGTTATAAAGGATCCATCTACTAAGCGGACGAAAGGGTTGCGGAATAGGAGGGTGAGCAGTGTTATTTCAAAGAAATATAACAAAGTTCAATCTCAAGTTGAGGATGATATTTTAAATATTGCGGGTGATGGATATCTTGTCCACCCAAGTTCCGGAGGTTCTAGTTTTTGTCACGTTAGCACAATGTCAAGCATGGAGGATAATTAAAGCATATGTTAGTGTTAATCATCGTAGTTATATGTATCACGTACAGAATGATGTTGAATCATATAACTCAGAAGTAATAAAATAGACATTTATTATGATTTGTGCTGTTTTAAAAGTTTATGTGTATTCATTATATACTTTATGTGTATTACTTCATATGATTATGTACATTTTTTTTTGTGTTAATTACTTTTATATATTTACGTACATTTCCTTTTTAGATTTGCAGTTATCAGTATAGGGAAATGATATGCTTGGTCCTATGTGTATTCTGTACATGGATTATATTCAGTAGGATGTTTGATTGTATACATTAGCATAAACAAAATATTTGTTAGACTTTTTTTTAGTAGTATGTGCACTGTTTTGAAAGTTTATGTGTATTCATTATATGGGTTATGTGTATTACTTCATATGATTATGTACATTTTTTGATAGTTCATAGTTTGTGAAGTATTTGCATTGATTATGCACAAAACTATGTTGGGGAATATGAAAAATATAGAATACGAGTAAACATTAGATTGGACTACCAAAAGGAGCATATACAAATTTCTGATAATTGTTTATCAACTGAAACTTCCAAAAATTGAACCAAAAATACAAGTAAGTCTGAGCTTGGATTAGCAGAATTGCTTTTTACAGATTCTTGTTAGTAGTTTCACTTCTATTTCTTGTAGATGTCCCTCGCTGAGTGCAAGACTGTTTCCATGTATTTGTTGTTCTTCCACATGAGGATGTTTGCTGCATATTTGGCTCTAAGCGATGTAATGAAAGCAGCCTACAATAAACAAAAGATAGATGTTAAAATTAGAAGAAACAAGAGATAACATGTGTAATGTAGAACAAAGTTGATTATTACTTACATCACTATCCCCCCATATGAAACCAGTTTCCCACTTGTCTACCTCAGTCCCTTTGAAAGTTTCCATGTGGCACATGCAATACACGCCACAATCTGCTGTGTTCTCTTCATCTTGCCATGGCATGTGAATGCACTCCACTTCGATATTCTTCACTTTCCTTGCAAGGAAGTTTTTCTTCAATTGGAGGTATTTGTAGAAAGCTGTTTTCTGCACATTATAGTAATTGTAGTATTTAATTAATTTAAGTAATGTAAATATTAAACTATAGGGTATAGATATTAAATAGGAGTATTAGTATATCTTACCAATTTAGCTGGGCAGTTCTCATATCTGTTCTTACTTGGTATTCCTTTGGACAAT